TATTTTAAAAAATATTTTCATTTTTGATTTATGGACCCTAGCTTAAAAAAGTTGAATATCTCAAAACAAACTTCAAAATGTTTTGGTGATTTTTAAAAAATGGGGCCTTGGTTGACATTCGGTCCAGGATGACCTGCCGCTGAGTGGTCGATTTCCCCTCGTACTTGATTCAAGAATTCTGGTTCAACTCATTCTGTAGAATGGATACTTGCCCCCCATTCAATGCGAGCCGCCGTGCATGGAGTATGGAGTACTCACGAGTCTCGAACCATTCGACTCAGTGTCTACAAACGGGCGGTCTGTTACGGGCCCTTTGCAGACACTGATTGGGACCAATGGCCCATCGTAACTACACTGCAAACGCGCGTTTTAGTCAAGGCTTGTCCCCCCCAAGTCGACCGCAATTTTTCCTCTTTCGCCGAATTTGAGCAACCTGCTGTCTGCGTATCCATCTTTCACGACGACTCCTAATTGGTCCCCTCGGCGCGCGTGCTTTGATGGCATGTCGTCGAGGTGTAAGGGGCTGCCGTGCGAGGCGAGTGGCTGAGGAGTGTGAAGGGCGGCGCCGACCACGGCTGCCGAGCCGCGCCGCGGAGGGGACCGGGACGGGACCGAGACACACTGACATTTCGCACAACCACACCAATCTTCCTCAGCGTCCCCGCGGCCCCCTGCAGTCCGACTGCAGCTGGCCCAACTCCGGTGCGCTGAGGTGAGGCCGAACATCAGCACCACGGTCCAGCCCGGGTCCAATCAGCGCCGCCACTGTTGGCGCCGGCAGAAACTCTGGCCCCGGCCCGCGCGGCACTGCCTGCCTGGGGGAGAGGCGCCGCAGCGGCCCACCACGCCCCGCCCCGCCTCGCCCCGCCCGGCCACGCAAGGACGGCTGCCAGCCGCCACCACGAGTCATGCTGCGGACTCAGGGGTGCTGTGCTGCTGGCGCTGGCCACTGCCAGAGAGTGCTCACTAACGAAAGTCTGTACTCCACTAATTACAGATCAGTCAGGAAAGGCCTTTAGCGAGTGTCGTTTTGTGAGTCTACGTTTATGGCGAGTTTATGGTGTACGTTTTCTCCGGCGTATTCAAACGAATACACGGTAAAAGTCAAAGTCGGTCTTCCCAGTCGACCACTTCAGATTAGCAGGTGTTTTCAGCTAATCAGTCCTAGAAACACTCTGAGGCCGATAACAGTCTTAATTTGTTTCATTCAGATTTGGTGTTTATTTTTCTTAAAAAGTTCATTAGGTATATCATATTGTAAACCGATAACTACAAATAAATTCACTATAAGATAATGTTAAGAATTAAAGTAACACTGTTGATAGGCGGACGGGATACACTTGCTATAGACGAAATGGCCTGGGCTATACGGACATGAGCCCGCCTGGAGTTGAGCCCGAACCACTGTGGGCCTGACTAATACCCGATGTGAGCCTAGTTCCGAGTCTGACTCGTTAGATTTGGTCCTGGCTACATCTAGCTTGGCTTATATCGGACACTGCTTGGGCCTACAGTGGTTCGGGCTCAACTCCAGGTGGGCTCATGTCCGTATAGCCGTGGCCTGCCCTACAACGGCACGTGCTCTCCCATCCCAAACAATAAGCTCACACGATATTATAACTTGTACTTTCTTCTTTTTTCACATCGGTAAAATTAAATAGCCCCCAACCCCTCCACTGCTGTGTGCTGGTGCTGACTGCTGACGCAGTGGACCCGCTTTTTGGCTCCCTTCGAACTCTTTTACCCATTTCCCCCCGCGTTAGTCTCGGCTCTTGTTCCACAGCCATAATAAGATGCCGGCTGCTCGGGGCCGGCGGCGGCCGGGCCGCGGACTGTCTGAGATCTAATCGGTTTGCAAAGCCCTCCCCTCCCCTTCAGCCCCGGCC